CCCATAGAATGTTGGTTATTTTGTTTTAAAAAAGTTTATTTTAATATACTAGAAGATTTGTTTATTTTGAATAAGTTTAGCACAATTATATAAGTAACTAATTAAAGATGAGTAGGCAATTAATAAGTAACATTCTTCTTTAAAGTAGTTCACATCATTGCTATGAGCACATTAAAATAAATGTATTCTATTTCTTTTTGATTGAGATCATTAACCGATTGATGTTAGACCACCTTTGGAAACCTGGAAACACTGGACGGCCGTTTCATCCTATTGTGGGACTCCTCATCAGCGCACATCCACGACCCCGCTCGCGGGACTCGGTCCCAGGGCCTTCGGTCTCACGCGCGAACGCTTAGCCTACTGGAAAACTGAGCCGGCATCCAATGGTGACGGAGTCCCACATTAGGACGAAACGACTGTCCAGTGCTTCCAGGTTTCCAAAGGTGGTCTAACATCAATCGGTTCATGATTTCAATCAAAAACTTAATAATCTCCACAACCCCTATACTGTATTCCATTTCATTGGAACATATCAATTTGTTGTATACGACACTTATTCTTACATCTGAGATTGATTTTTCACAAAATACACATGATAATACTCTTACACTATACTGATTATTTTTACAATTTACCACTGCTTTTGATGATATTCTAGTTTGAGGTGTACATGATAAGATTCAGCTATTTTATTCAGTAACTAATTTTATTAATCCAGAATATTGTATTCCCCAATTTTTGATTCTATAGTCGGTTCTGTAAAAATAGGATAAAGAAGAATGAAATATCAAAATAAACAAAAAAGTTCATTAACTTTTAGGCATTGTATTCGTATGTTCGAGTTACAAAAAAAGTTAGCTAAACATCTGTTATGCGTACTGAACTTTTAGCTGATAAGTGGACATTTGTCAGCATAAAGATACTTTAGATTACGTCCTAACTATTTATTATAAATACAATTACTTGGTACTGATTATATTATAGTGAACGAACACTTGATATAGATGATCATTTTATTGTTTAACGCAAAATTACACTATGACCTGGTAAAATGTGAAAATCATACATTAAATACATCATTTGTTCCTGACAAAATTCGTTGTTCCTTCATTCCTGTTATTATCTTGATTGTTTTCAGTTTTCTTTTTTCTTCATTTTATTTCAATCTCAATACTCTGCTACCATTCAGTCCACTTCTGATCGGTGTTATATATTACTTATATCTGTTAATATAAGTACCATACACCACAAAATGAATATATAAATGTTCATGGACTTGATAAATTTGCCTTCAGTATAGTCATTATCCTTTCTCCAACATAGTTTACCTTCATTGTCGTTAGTATCATGAGTTATTTTGGTATGGCTAGTGAATTCATATGTATACATGTTTGAGTATAATGTCGTTTGAAATGTTTTGCGGATGTAAGTTCACTTTTCAATAGATTTTATTTTCCTTACATTTTTCGAAAAAATCAGTCATCATTAAATCAGGTCGTTTATGAAGTTACTTTATTTGTTACATAGTAATTATATTTTTTAATATTTATTTATTTACATGAGAAATGGCTTGTTCAATTTTTTGCAAATGAATAAACTGTATTGTATGTCAATGTTTAATCACTCCTTTTCTCATTAGAACAAATAAGGGTTAGTGACTATCATAACAGAATTTGTCAGTGAGATGGTGTTTTATGTTATAAATAAACATTTGTAAAACAATCATCGTTAAAATCGAAAGTTTTAGATATCCGTTTAGTGGTTTTCCTCATCTTAATTTACAGGAGTTGGACTTTTGCCGGGAGATTCATTTGTTGACTTAGAATGTGCCGATGACATAGTTCTATTTGGTGAAGAAGCTGACAAAATGCACAGTCTTCTGACCACCATAAGCAACAATGCAAGCATTTTCAGGTTGTGATTCTCCTCCTTGAAATGTAAAATGTTGCTTCAGGATTGGGTCGCATCGACACCTGAACTAATGATAGGTAGTGAAGTAGTTGAGCTTGTCGACCGGTCCACTTATTTTGGAAGTCTCATCAGCCTTTATGGTCTAGTGTGTGGTGAAATCTCAGCACAGATACAGAATGCTCGACTAACTTGCGAGATATCCGTCTACCAACCAAAGGACAGGTTTACTGCGCAGCAGTTTGTTCCGTTCTTCTTTATGGCTGTGAAACATGGTCGGCAAGAGTAGAGGATATTCGTAGGTTCTTCAACTTGAACGTCTTCTATTTTCCCAGACCGCTTCTACATTTGAAGAATAAAGAAAAGGTGATCAATACGAGTTAAAGGTTTACTCCATGGTTAATCTACTTACCGGAAATAGAGTATATCTATAGGGTTTTAGATTTTCATTTACTACCAACTCCTGGAAGAAATAAAACATGACAAATAGTCCTTCATCTTTTTCTGAGAAGCGTTTACTCAATTCTGATCTAATAATATTTTTTCAGCCTGTTTCTGGGCTTATAAAGACGTTATCAAAGGATATTTGTGGACCCCTAATAAAAATCGATACAGACCAACTATTTATCATATCAATGAAATAAAGTTATTTGTAGAGATCATTTAAAAATGGCAATCTTAATACTAAAATTTATTATAGTATATAGTTACTTGGAGATACTAATCAATATATACCATATTTATGCACACATAACCAAAAACTATGCTAGAATGCCTAATTTAATTGATGTGTAAGGGAAAATGTCAGTTGAAGCAGCAGAAATATTTTTCATTTGTTATTCGATTTATGCACCTCTCAGTATGACTTAATGACCTATTCGATATTCATGGTTATATATATATATATATATATATATATATATATATATATATATATATATATATATATATATATATATATATATATATAGTTTTTTTCTATCGGAAGATTAGAAACGGAAGCTATTTTTAAAAATGATATTCAGGATTAATGATTAATGATTTAAGAAACTAGTAGAGATAATTTATTACATCCTTGTTCTACTCGGACGTGAAACTTACTTATTGTCCATGTTCTAACATTGCATACTATAGGATTTCATGTAGCTAGTTATCTGTAAACTGCATTACTGAAATCTAGTTATTGGGTATGTATGTCTTTATTATTAAACCCAATGTTTCTGTGTGTCATAGCTTTTTAATTATTATTAGTAGTGAGAGTGTAGTGGAATTTCTTCGTATATCAGTCGTCCTGATAACTGTTATTAGATAATTTTTAATGGTGTGTCAGAAAGCAATAAGAAATGTTGGCCACAGTTTATAAATGTACAACTCAGCTCCGAAATCCAAATGCACTGTAAGCAAATACGAACAGAAATACAAATGCAAATAATAAATGTATTTAAGAAGCTCATATATATTAACAAGCGTATGAGTTATTGAGCGATTTAAGCAACTAAGATTTCAGTTAGAGAAATGTATGTACAGGCTGTCATACTTGACCAAGCGTACGTGATCATAGAAACGTGATAATAACAGCACAAAGACATAGACAAAGTGTTACTGACTGAATAAGTTAACTGACGAACTTCATCTAATCAAAGTAATACTAAATCAGGTGTAATTAAGGTATTATAAGAGTTCACTGCAGTCGAAAAATGTATCAAACGATTGAATTGTGGAGTCTCTGGATTTGGACCCTTTGATTTCAGTGCACATAACTTATTAAAAATATAATCCATCCATACTTCCAAGCCTGATAGTGAATTATTGGATATTTGTAATATTATGTTGATGATGTTCAGTTGATAACAACAATTATTTCAAAGTGATCAAATTATCAACGAGAAGAAAACTAATTGTTTACTTTAACTCACTTTTACATCACTAACTCACTTTAATTATATAATCACTGAAAACCAGAAAACGCTAGATGCTTGTTTCTTCCTAAACTGGGACTCTTCAGCAGTGCACCTCCGGTAACCCGTTAACGATAGGACCCAGATCTTTCAGGCTTCGTATGAAATACTTTATTTATACTTACACCAGTACATTTCCAGGTTTATAATACTTCACCTATAGCAGTTAGTTTGTGATGTTAAATTTTCAATTCAATGATCTCTACAATAATCGCTTACTAACTTTGTAATATGATCTAAATATTAAAAAAATAATTTAATTGTATGGTCTTTAATACAATGTGATCTTTCATATAACCATTCTGTATTGTTTTTATTCTTCTCTGTGGACTAAAACTACAGTCACTAGAATGTTTTATTAATTATTAAAACTCATGAAATAAAATCATAACTGCATGTACCATCCAAAAGTGTTTCACTCCATCCAGTAGTTTTTCAATAAATAATTGTTCATCTGTTTAAATATTTTTGACTGGACAAAATAAAGTAGCTTAATAATAAGTCAAGTAAATTTGTCACTTATGGTAATCTAATTCTTAAAATAGATAACTGTAAAATTCTATCCTTGATAAATGGTGTAGTTTAGTCGAAATATATCTAAATTATAATGATGTATTTTGTTATATTAAGTTTGTAATTTAAATGAAACCACTTTATAGCTTACATCAATGAATAATGTTAGTTAGATAATCACTGAATACCAGGAAAGGCTGGGCAGATATTTCACTGCAGTGTGTAACTCCTCAAATATACGCATCGCTGACCTAAATTATGACTGAATCCAGACCCTTCGGGTCTTACTGTGAGGACTTAAGCATTAAACTATTGATCCAGCATTGCTGATTTACATTTGTAACTTCAGTCAACTCACGAAAATGTGCAACCATCTCTCAATATAATCAGTGGATTATCGTCTTACACCAAATCTGGCCGAACTATACTGGTCACGGCTCCTCACTAGAACTCAAAAAATTGTATCTTAAAATAACCCCCCACTGGGATTATGACTATTATTACGATGGAGGTTTGTTCAGATTGTTTAATTTTAATTCACGACATTATCACAAATTCATAACTAATTATTCAAATAATTACACTTCTCTTAAATCATCTCATTTTCTTCTAATACAGTGTGGAAATTCGTGGAGCTGCAACTATTCTAGATGTGAGCTTTTCAGCAAAATCATTATCTGGTGAAGAAGATACTTGGTCACAATGTGTTAATGAGCTATTAGTTGAATTACGCCAATGTCGTCGTCGTGCAGATAATCTAGTCAATAGAATTATCCGTACAGAAAAACAACGTTGTGTTCTTGAAACATTTGCTGATAGTTTGTCACGTCGTGAAGATGAGATTCTGTTAGGCGGTAATCATCACGGTCATGTGGCATTGAATAATTTACCAAATCATACGGGTGTTGCAGATCAAGTAAATAATATCCCGTCACAAGGAGCAACATTATCGGGAGGAACAACACCAGCAAACGCTCAGATGGCCGCAATGACTGCGGAACATAAATGCATAAATGATGTAAGTTGTTTTCCTTAACTTTCCATTTTACAAGAAATATTTTTAAAATTAGATCCTCATTTCGAAACAACAATAGTATACAAGATTTCAAATTAAGCGTGAAACAGATATGATCTTCAGATTAGGCATCGAATGAATACCAAACAATTGGTGACGAATCAAATATGAATACATATCTCGATGTTTCCTCAAAAGATATTATTCAGTTAGTCAATTATGAGTAACATCAAACCTGACATACATACGCAATATTCCAAGTCACCACAACATATCAACTCTGAAAGATGAAATCATTAAGACAAATACCAGATTAGTAAAACTGGTAACATTATCAATGGTAGTAAAAATTATTAGGTACAGACAGTATAATTCAACAGAGAAGAACGAATTCGTGGAATAAATAGTATAGGATATTTTGAAAATCAAGATCCAAGTCAAGATAATGAGTGAATGTATCTAAACATGAATAAACAGAAGGAAAAATCGTTTTCAGTATACAATGATTAGATTTATGTACTTCTTCTTATGGCCGTTGTTGTATGTAACAGACAAATTCTGTGACCATTGGATGAGTTCAAAAGAACTATTCAGAAACCATTGACTGCTAATATTGTGTCGATTGAGGTGACTAGCATCGACTGAACTGGTCAGAATAAAACTTTTGATTGTTCTCTTCTATCTTTTCGTCAACTCAGATAGATAATTTTCAGAAATGAAATAGTATGTTTGCCTGTTCGAGCCTCTAATTGGACTGGTAAATTTATACTTCTAAACTTACTAAAAGAGTTGTTTATCGACTACCATTTATAGGCGAAGTATATCTCAGTATTCCAAAGAAATAATTTCTTCCTCAGTTTTTGATTTGTGATAAACCCTATTTCTAACCTCATTCATATTATGTTAAATCATCTTGATTTCTATATATGATTGATAGTCTTAGGACATTTTTTATACACATGAAATGACGTGTATATGAAGTAATTTTTTAGATAACTTCCTGGACATGTTGCATAATGATTTAGATCTGAAATTGAGTAAAATTTAAAAAAACACTTCCATCACAATCATACAAAAATACTGTACTGATCTGTGGACACAAAATCCTTGGTCAAACTACGTATGTGAACTGCTATTAAAATGTCTAAGACGAAAGTATTATTTAATGACTAGCTGGCGTGGACTCGGATTCCATAATGAAGATCAGTTACCTCATGATTGTTGTGAACTTGTTGACCACTGCCATCTTCCACAAGATCTCGCTCGTTCAATGCTTTGCTGTCATCTAGCTCCAATCAATCAACAGCAACACTATGAATGACTGTTTGTTACCTGAAGGCTTGTAATGTGACGAAGTCAATCATCAGACAATCGTTCAAATTGTTTTGTGAGTCAGTGATTAGAAATTCATTTAAGCTGTCTTGTCTCGAATCGTCCTTCTCGATGTAGTTCACCGAAAGCATCATTTAGTGAGAGATAATTCAATGAGTGAATAATAGAATGGAAATGTCAATTTAAAATGGATATTTCCTGTATATTGTGCATCACTGTTTGGAATATTCTACTAGATGACTGCACACTCGATGAATGATTTCGAAAATCAACTAGTAATAAATAGGTATTAACGAGTGTGTTGTTTCTTAAGTTGAAATGATCAGTTGTTAAACTATAATGAATAAATGAAGAGATTCATATTAAGAAATGAAGAGAAGTGAATCCATTTTATTTGTGTGTTGTTGTTCGTGCAAATAATTCAGTTATTAATTTAGTAGAGATAATGTAATCACTTCAATATTTCTATAACTAGTTGAAGTTGTTAGCTAGTGTTATACATTTCAACCTAGTTATAAATATACATTCATATTTGCCATTTGAACAAATTTTGAATTATGTGTTCTGGGTCTGTTTATTTAAATAATCTTTTGCAATATTCAATGTTCAGCTTTTTTATTGACAAGGTTTAACCATTATAATGAATGTCTTTGTACTTTAAGTAAAAAGGTTAACAGATTTATAGTACTGAATTGAATGATAAATAAATCATTCACCGAAATAAAACTTTAGGATTCATGTGATTTATAGTTTATCAAAAGTATAAGTAGTTTATTTTATTTTAATTCGTTTCATGATGTCATTTTTGGTCCATATTTACAATGAATTATAGTCCTAATACAAATGGTGCTAACTAGGACAATTATCTTTACTTTACCACTTATCCCTAGTGGATCATTAGATAAGTGAGGGAGAATATAATTTATGGACGAACTAATCAAATATAAGATAATAAAATAAATAGCGTTTTGGCATTTTGGCTGATGTCAGTTGGTGATGAAAACCCTAAATTTAATTCTTAACCCTAATAATCAACTGAAAATCATAATTCGAATGCTTCACACTGTTTTATAAACTTCAGTTAGTCCTAGTTATTGGGTGGACATTCTCAAGGTCATTTAAGCGTCGCTCAAAAGTCGTCCGTAATTTATAGTCTCATCAATAATTGTTATAACTTTTACCCCTGTCAATAACCACGTGGCAAAATCACCAATCAGATTACCGACATATACGACCTTTTTCTTGTGCTAAACTAATTTCACGTCAACCAGCACTGACTGCCTTACGTCAACTCTTAATCTTTATTGGTCCTTTTCGCCCAGCCGTGCCCATTGGAGTTCAGAAAGTAATCTCAGCCTCCACTGTATGAATCGTATATTTCAGACATACATAGTTTGTGTACAAGCGAACCAGTCGTCATCACACTATAAAATAAAAATAACAATTATACAAGATCAAACCAACAGTGGCTGTTAGTGTGGGATACTGTAACTGATAAATCGGGAATAAGTTAAGAATGGTAAATCGTATTGCAGTAACCGATAGGTCAAATGAAAGTTTATGATAAAAGGTATATGAATGTACACAAAACTTAGCTACTTAATCGTTATTCAATAGGAATATATGTCATAATAGTCTATGAATAATTCTTAAGAGCTGTCATTTATTTATTTTTCGTTTGGATATAACAATCACTTTCAATATCTGATTTTAAAGTCTTGACAACATACCACTCCAAACGTTTTTTAATTACTTAGCATCATACTATCTTACCATAGAACATTGTTTTAGCAAATAAAATTAACTATAAATACAGTCGTACAGCTTGAGTAAATGAGATTGTCGAAGAGAATTTTTCCTTTCTTCTTCAATGATACAATGGGTCTTGTTCATTACTTTAAATCTATGGGTTGAATATTTGATTTGATCTTGATTGTGAATTTATGATGAAAATTGACGTCAAGTAATCAAAAAAGATAATTATGTACTGATAACGAAGAGCATGAAAAAAGAACTCAACTAAAACGAAAAGTGAAGTAAATAAGTTTTAATAACCTTTAGAGTACAACTGTTTAAGATTTAGAATAAGAGAGAATAGAGTGAAAAAGATCCTATCAATCATGTATTGATATAATGTAACTTCTTCAACTACTGATTTCTATCATCTATAAAGTCTAGAATAAAAATAGAAGCGGTATAATGATAAAAGTATTTTACTTTCAACCAATTTGATGTACTTTGGAGCTGTACTTCAATTAATTCAATTTGGACTGTCAGATAGTATTGTTATCCTGTCATAAATGAATAAACATAGTTCACAGTTGAGTACATAAAATGATAACACTTGTTAACTGAGCTCCACTAATTAATTAATTCTATTTCAAATAAAATAAAGGACAATATTTTCATTACACAGATCAGTAAACAAAAAATTGATGAAGCTGCACTATGCTTTAGCCGAAACTACTCAGTTGTCTATTACCAACAAATTTATTGACCATATGTTTCGATAGTTTCTATTCCAATTTTTATGAACTACTTCATTACAACTGAAGGGAACGGCTAAATCAAGTTATTTATGAGTGTGTGTGTGTGTGTGATCACCTTTTTTGAACAAGGATTAATTGATAATCACTGTACATATGACCGTAATGTCAACTTTATACAAAGCTTTATTAAATACATTATAAAATAAAATTTGTAGCAACACTGTTGTGTAATAACAAATTTCTTCTCATCTGGATAGGATTTTAAAATAAATTTACCACTGACAAAAAATACAAGCTTTAAGCTTCTTTAGTAATGTCGATAAAGTTCCGATAATGACATTTAGATGTCAAGTGACTATTTATTTAGAAATGACTCAAATAATTTAACAAGCATAGTTATATTAATTGTGGTTCTGAATAGTTAATTTCAACTACTGACTATCAGTAAAATCAGTTGTTTATAATAGAAATTCTTGTTTAATATTAGAGATCACATTATGGTTTGCTCTTAGCTAGATGACCATTGAAATTCAGAATACACTGCACAGCTATTCCATTCTATTGGTGCTCACATACACCCTATATGGAATTAAACGCAAGACCTTTAAATCTAGCCATGAATCCTTAACTTTTAAACGACAGAAGGGGCATTCTTGGCTTTCATTTCTAATTTCGATTACGTTTCAGTATTTCCCTGTCACTTTCTTCTATCGGTAAGTGCCTTACATCCGATTTTATTGAATTTGAGTGGTTATGCGTTTGTTGTTTAAATGTTAATGACTCGCTATAATACCTGAAGATTATGGTTTCGAGTCATTGCTGCGTGTTATCGAGAAATTGAACATTAGCACGAAACAACTATCCATCGCTTCCTGGTTTTCAATGGTTATCCAAATGGAGTCAGTTCATGATGTAAACTGTGAAGTTCAACAATCTCTACAGACACTTTATACGCTTATTTGATATATATTTTCATAGCATTCACTTGGCAATGATAAAGATGTATCTTATTAATGTGATAGACAAACTGAAATAGAACTTTAAAGCAAAATATTATCATATTATGTTATGCAATGACTTTTTGTACTGGTTAAGTATATGTCTATTTTTCGATAAATTTATTACCCTCACTATCTCTTTACATGATCATGTTCACCAGTGCGTAGTATATTCCTGTCTTTTTTATCAGACTAACCCTGCAAAAAGTGAGATATTTAGTTATGTATGTTTTGTAATACAAATGAAATGGGAATAATATGGACACAGACACATATAACATTCATCTTGTTTTCCTGTAGAACAGAAGTCGACTTACCATTGGCCTATAAAGCATTTACTAAGGAGATATTTAACAACAATAAATATTTTTTTCGCATAATTCCTATTCACCTCTATGTATGGTTACTTTGTGTTTGTATCGCTCGTCAAATCAAATTCATTTGTGTGCAGTTGATAGTTTTCAGTGCTTTCATTTCAAAATTACTTAATTCATCTTCATCTGAATTCACCAGTGACAATAGACAATAATTAAAGCAAATAAAAGTCTTCTGGAAAAAAACTGATAAGCTGAAAAGGAGTACACGGTTATTGCTTAGGGTGGAGGCTGAACAAGAAGAACATCAAAAGTTACTTAGACGCAGTAGATCGTTTTATGTGAAAGAAAAATTATTTCCTCATATCTGTATATAAACATGTTACAAGTAAAGTGAAACGTTCAAACTGTTTAAAATTTATCCTCTTAGATGTAGATTGTTAACACGAACGGATTGCTACAATGATTCATGAGATAAAAATCACTGTCACTTTAACAATAGCGATAGTTATCAATTTTTCGAAAGATTATCTAAGGGAAAAATAATGTTTATTCAAAAATTTATCCTTAACTTTCTTACTTGACAATAAAATCACTAAGGAGTCCCATATTAGAATGAAATATCTGTCTAATGGTTCCATCTTTCAATAGAATCTCAGATGATGTTACTCAATGACAGATATTATCTAAAAATCCCCACAAAGCCCCCGCCCAGATCAAAAGATGATAAATTTCTTGAATTCTTTGTGTGTTATTGTTTACTTTCTTTTAAGAATTCTCACCTAAAATAGCGATTGTATTTTTCTGTCATTCAGCGATTCATTGAATCAATTGATGATTATTCTTTATTCAAAATGAAAAAAACAAACCAACTAGACAAAATAAGAAATGCCATAGAAATGTAAATTCACTCTAATCAATATTTGTGTTCTTTTTTTCATTTCAGTTGAAATCTGAATAAAATAATCATAATTCTGAAAAAAATATACAAATGAAGTTTTACAATCTGATAAATCACAATAATCGGTCATGATTCGGATCGATTTATTGAAAATGATTTTACTTATGAAATAGGCATTAACAAACAGAACCATTAAATAAATCAACTTAACATTGAAATGTTTAATTATTAGATTGAGGCATACTATAAATCTTCTTAAATTACATCATTTGTTATATATTGAAGAGAATGAATTAGTATATTTCGACCTGGATGGTACCTACAGCGATTACATAATTCTTTTTATCAATATTGTTAACAATAGTCGATTGTATTGCTTGTTGTTAATGATAAATTTAGTTAAACGAATGTAGGTAATCATATATATAGTTTCTTAAATCTAATAAATTTTATGTTGTCTTCAACGTGCCTTTTTTCAAACTAGATCATTAATCCTTATGATCCAAGAAATGTGGAAACGTTGCATAAATTTCTTGAAATTTACAAAGATGAAGCTGAACGATTTGATACAGTTTTAATGGATACTACTGAAGAATTGGAACAAGTTCGTACACGAATTGAGACATTGGAAAAAGAAGTTCGTGATATAGAATTAAAGCAAGATGAACATTTAGCCAGGTATTTGTCAACGTTTCAACATTTTGATTATCTGTATACATTTTTATGAGGCATGTTCTGTTGATGTTGTCCTAAAAAATCATATAAACTTTAGGGCTGGACCATCAAGCTCAGTGAATACAGTGTCCTCAAAGATATGTACTAGATCTTTAACCTTCAAGTATACGGTTTGCAAGAAAAGTAAAATACTCATTTATTCACAAGTAAATTATATTTGTTTATGGGGAATAATTAAAGCTAAATGTCTTATTCAGTCGGATTTGTTATTTAGATGTATCTAGATTTTCATCTAGAATTTTTGCTCAAACTCAAGACTAACACTAAACCTTATTAATTAGAACAATAATTTTCGACAATTATCTGTTCTTAAAAGATTACTCATTCACTTACACCAGTTATCCCTCGTGAAGGAGTATAGGTCGCCCACTGCCACTCTCTATCGAACTCTGTCCTGGGCGATCCTTTCCAGTTGTTTCCAGTTGCTATTCATTCTTTTGATATCTGCTTCCAATTCCCGGCTCAGTGTGTTCTGTGGTATTGCTCTTTTCATTTTCCCCTCAGGATTCCAAGTTAGCGTTTGCCGCGTGATGCAGTTTGGTGATATTTACAGTGTATATCCTATCCACCTCCAACGTCCTTTTGTAATTCCTTCCTCAGCTGGAAGCTGATTTGTCCTCTGCCACAGTGGTATTTGACCAATGGATATTGGGTATATTGAGTAGACATTTGTTTATGAATACTTGTACATTTTTGGTGATGGTTGTGGTAGTTCTTCCAGTTTCACCTCCCTAGAGTAGAACTGCCTTGACGTTCGTGTTGATAATTATGACTTTGATACTAGTTGTCAGTTGTTTTGTGTTCCGTATGTCATTCAACTGTAGGAATACCGCCCTTGCTTTACCAATTCTTGCATTTACGTCTGAATCAGATTCTCCTTGTTCATTGATGATGCTATCCATGTAAGTCAAAGTTTCCACCTCTTTCTGAGTTTCTCCATCAAGTGTGACAGTGTTAGTGTTCTCTGTGTTGTATTTCAGGATCTTGGTTTTTCCCTTGTATATGTTGAGGCCTACTAATTCAGAGACTTCTGCTACACTGATTTTCTTGACATACATTTGTTGGTGAGTATAGATAGGGATGAGCTAGGTCATCTGCAAAGTTCAAATCATCTAGCCCTATTCAAGCCGTCTATTGTATTCTATACTTCCCGTTAAATGTAGAGGACTTCATAAAGATTACTAGTTGATGAATGAGTTTAGAATGTCTTAACACCTATTAAAAGGAATGCGTTGATTAGTTTGTGTAAGCAAATTAACACCCTATGAAATTATTTCTAGATTATGTTTAACAAAAAAACATCGAATTATTTTCAGATATTTAATGATTCCCCAGAATATGTCAGTGCACTATGAAAATTATCTCCAACTTATACATCTACCTACATTGATTTCTGGTAAAACACACATTAGAGATGACGGACAACAATTCTGTTGATTGGAAATGAATTCAGAGAAAGTAGATATTTGTGACACTATAAGCAACCTACTGAATATGAATTGACGATCGTAAAACATAAGAGACATCGGTTACAGTCCAGTGAGTGATTCAGTACATAAATATTTTGTACGGTGAGGGGAAATTGACAAATTAAGCAGCTTAATATAAGTGATTTCATTGATGAGAAGATTAGCGAGTAGACAAGTGTGATATTGGTTACCAGTTGATAATGAACGAATTGTAAATATATCAGTGTCATAGAAGGTGGATGTTGGTCGAAATAGCTCCATGAGAAGGTCTGTGGCATTGAAATTAGCTGGCGTGGACTCGGATTCCATAATGAAGATCAGTTACCTCATGATTGTTGTGAACTTGTTGACCACTGCCATCTTCCACAAGATCTCGCTCGTTCAATGCTTTGCTGTCATCTGGCTCCAATCAACCAACAGCAACACTATGAATGACTGTTTGTTACCTGAAGGCTTGTAATGTGATGAAGTCAATCATCAGACAATCGTTCAAATTGTTTTGTGAGTCAGTGATTAGAAATTCATCTAAGCTGTCTTGTCTCGAATCATCCTTCTCGATGTAGTTCACCGAAAGCATCATTTAGTGAGAGATAATTCAATGAGTGAATAGTAGAATGGAAATGTCAATTTGGAATGGATATTTCCTGTATATTGTGCATCACTGTTTGGAATATTCTACTAGATGACTGCACACTCGATGAATGATTTCGAAAATCAACTAGTAATAAATAGGTATTAACGAGTGTGTTGTTTCTTAAGTTGAAATGATCAGTTGTTAAACTATAATGAATAAATGAAGAGATTCATATTAAGAAATGAAGAGAAGTGAATCCATTTTATTTGTGTGTTGTTGTTCGTGCAAATAATTCAGTTATTAATTTAGTAGAGATAATGTAATCACTTCAATATTTCTATAACTAGTTGAAGTTGTTAGCTAATGTTGTTTCATATAATTTTCACTTTGTTTAATCATTCGTTTAGATAGTAATTATAAGTTTCGTAAGTTTATACTCAGATATATTGTTCAGATACATATATGTGATTACTCAATAATACATCTTTGAACTGGTCAACTAACTGTTCTCATTTCTTATTGGTGAGACATTCCTAGGAAAGAACAGTTTGTTTGCCTCTAATGATGTGTCACGAAACATCTTTTGATTGTGATATTATATTTCCGACACTCGTATTGTCTGTAAAATGCACATAACAACCTTATTTATTATTATTAAGATGAGGGTTTATCGGAAATTGTTTGTCGCTCGCCGTCAAACCTAAAGGTCTTGTGCTAGATCTATGGTGTGGTCTTGGATTCATACAATTAATGAATCCCATACTAGGTAGAAATAGCTGTTCCCAGTTTTCTATGGTTGTCTGACTTAAGTCAGTGATTACTATTTACGCTACCTTTCCAGTTATTTAGTATATCTCATATCTTTAACTACTTCTGACTGATTCCACTTTATAAGCATGAAGTTTATTTTGATATTTGCCTTGATTAGTTCGACTAATGGGGGAATTATTTTTGGCATTTTAGTTACCTATCATATTAGATACTATAATACTGATTAATTAATTCTGTTTACTAGTTAGTTCGATGATTGTGAAAAATTTCCAAGTGATATTGATTACAATTACAATGAATAACTCATGTCATCTTGCATAATAATGAGTAGATTCATTAATTATTGGTTCTGAGACATTATCAAATAGCACACACATACACACACAAACAGAAATCTGGTTAAAATAGTCCACAATTTGTTGTATTATAAATACTAGACAAACTGTTTTATATTATAAATTCGTAAAACAGTGAATAGTTACTTTGTATCAACAACATTATTTACTGGGTTTCTATTTAATGAAGTTTGGTTTAAATTAGTACTGACTGAATAATTCAATGATTAAATGGATAATAGCAAAATGCAAAGCATTTACACCTGTCACATTGTAACGACTTTAAGAAAATGAATGTAAGAAATAGAGAGATAGGTAGAAAGATAGATAAACAGATAGATAGAGTGAGTGGTTGGTTGAGAGAGAGAGAGAGAGAGAGAGCAATAGGTAAAAGTTATCAACTCTAGGAATTCTATCTTTTATTAAAAAATGTAATGCTTTACATAGTATGTATCTAGTTATTCTCCTTGTTCCTTATTAATTACTTTACCTCTATTATTATTACTAATGACTTTCATAGGGTTTAGATCAATCATGAGACCACTTCATCATTAAACTCCTGTTTAATGATTCAGTTCTGGGAATTCATCTGACTAATTAAATAATAAATACGTCATCACACTAAGTGAAAATTTTACTTTAAGTTCCACTCACTATTTTAAGCTCTCATCATTTTAATTGAGATCGTGAACCGATCAATGTTAGACCACCATTGAAAACCTGGGAGCACTGGATGGACGTTTCGTCCTAGTGCGGGACTCCTCAGCAGTGCACATCCACGATCCCTCACGTAAGACTCTAAACCAGGACTTTTCGTCTTGTGAGAATGCCTATCCTCTAGACCACTGAACCGGCATCCAACGGTATTCATGATATCAAATAAAACTCAACAATCTCCACAACCCCATACCGATGCTTTAAATATTTGTTGTATTGTTGAACAGCACTGGAGTAATGCTTTACCATGACACCTAGTTCTGATTATTGATTTCTTTTTGGAATGCATTCAGATATCCGCTTAAATAGATTAATGTTTAAATAATTTAATCACAGTTGGTAGGATTCAGTTTTACAATTTTAAAATCCCTTTAGCAATAATACACATTCTACCAATAGAATTTAATAATTCAACAGTAATCTACTTATTAAAAAAGATTTAAATATTTTGGAACTTTCCAAAGAATGAGATTTTGATGTGAACTTAATAGTGAGAAGTTTCAACTTAGTCTTCACTATTCATTCATTCAACTACTCATAATTTTCGGTTCAATAGTTCATTCTAAAAAGATATTAGTTTGAGGACTTTATATGGAAAATAACAGATATCCTAATAATCAGTGTTATTACGGACAAAATATTTATAGTGAATAAAACATGTTTGTGTGTTTATATACCACAGCGGAAACGGACATTTGATTAGATCCTGTATGAAGTATCGTTTATCTAATATCCGAGTTGTAATCTGTTATTTCGTCCTAGTATATTAGACTTCTCTGTAGTACACATGCTTGATACCTCCGGAGATCGAACCGAGGACTTTCAGGTCTCACATGGAAAGTCTAACCTTCAGACTCCTAAGTCGACGTGTCTTACTGTGTATACATCTTGGTTAACATTTTTTCCTTAGATCGTAAGTTTTTTTAGTGCTGTCTGAGTATGAAAGTTTATATGTTTCATCAGACCACCTTTATCCTAATTGAATGTTGAAATGTTTATTAGATTGTAAGGTTTCAATGTTTAAGGTTCATGTGTTCTAAATATTATATTCTATACATTTAATGGAATCGAAAATTA